GGGGTTCGTCCCCTCCAGCACTGGTGTTGCAGCAGCGTGGCCGTGGCCATCTCGGTGCTGCAGGTCCTGGGGAAAAGCAGCTGGAGGCCGGAGCGGTGCTGGGGCGCGGGGTGATGCTGAGGAACATGGGGCTGGGGGTTCTGCCCCGCAGAAAGGCCTGAAACTTTCACACATCTCTTCTTCTCCTGCCCTTCTCCCCCTCCCCTGTGTGTTCCAGGACATGGAGGCGTGAATCAGCTGGGGGGTGTCTTTGTGAACGGCCGCCCTCTCCCCGATGTCGTTCGCCAGAGGATCGTGGAGCTCGCCCACCAAGGGGTCCGGCCCTGTGACATCTCCCCGCGAGCCACGGCTGCGTCAGCAAAATCCTTGGCAGGTAAAGGGGGGGACAGCGAGCCCTTCGGTGCCCGTCGAGAGAGAAGTGTCAGTGCTGGTCCCTTAATTGCAGGCTGCGAATGCATGGGGAGCGGCAGAAGCCTCAGGAAACCAGTGCAGTGAGGAGAGGCTTCCTGACTGCTCGTGGTTTCATGTGCCTGATCTGGGAACAAAGTGCTGCTGTTGGTGTGTCTGGTTTGCCCCTTTCACAGCTTCAGAGAGGCAAAATGCTGGCACAAAGTGCAGGGTGCCACGTGGGCTGTGTTTGTGTGTGTGGCACACGTCCCCCACCATTCTGTTCTGACCCCGTGGAGGAATCTGGGGGTCAGCTTCACTCAAATGGGAAAAATAAGAGTTGTGGAAGTTCCTGGTTTTGCTTTCCGAATGAGGGTCCTCTCTTCTAGCAGCAGAATGGCTCTGTGCTGTCAGCATTGCCGTGCCCTCACGCACACGGGCTGCTCTGCAGTCTCTCCCACTGTTAAATTCAGCCTCCTTTTCTGCTCCTGTGCTGGAATACGTTCTTAATGAGAGAACAGAATTCCGTAAGTGACTATTAACCGTCACAGTGTTGGCTTTTTTGGGAGTAGCTCTCTGTTCAGGCAGGAGCTGCTCAAACCACTACAGCAGCAGGAGAATGAGCTCCAAATTAAGCTAATTTCCTGGTTTCATTTTAAATTTTGAAATAGATTCAGGTCAGAAATACCATGCTTTATTCTTTGTATCATTTGAGCAAATCTGAACCTGATGTTTGCAAATTTCTGCATTAAAATGATTTTTAGAATTCCAGGTATTCTGAGGTATTTGAGGAACTTACATTAAGGAAGACATTTTTTTGTAAGATACATGTTTTCCATGATAACCTGGAAGAGTCGATTCTGGAGCTATTTACTAAACTTTGGCACTTAACCTCACTGTTTAGAATTCTGCTGTTTTTATTGTGACCACCTTCTCCCGTTTTCAGCCGACCCGCCCCACTGGCCGCAGCCTGGCTGGGCAGGCTGTCCAGGCAGCTCCTTCTGCAGGGCCAGGGGGGCCTGCTGGATTGGCAGCGGTTCTGGTCTCTGCGCGGCTGCAGCAGCAGTGCTGGCTGTTGGGCTGGCTCGGCAGCTCCAGCAGCTCCAGCAGCTCCTGCAGCTCCAGCATCTTAATCTGGTAAGTGTGCCTCCTGGCACCTCTCATCTGGTGAGCTGTTTAATGGGAAAGAC